ACCAAAGCAGGAGAGCCAAGTAGATGATTAAGGGCAAAGAAGTAACTAGAACAGAAACAGGGTCCAGAAGGAAGAGAGGGAGAAAACTAAGAGGCTTAAGAGGGAAAAAAACCAACTTGGTTTCCTATTTCACATATGGTCAATACTCACCCTGAGCTTGAAACCTGGTCAGGAGCTTCAGCCAAGAAGAGGTTGCTTGCACCAAGAGCGCAGGAGAAGGGGAAACAGCCTTCAGCCTCATGCCGCTGCTGCTCGCATCACGGCTAGACTTTTCACGCTGAGTTTGAACTTTGAAAGCTCCTAGCCACTGCATCATATTAAGGCTTTAGCGGAGATATGAGAGATCCTTCTTACAGCAGGTAACTGTGTAGGCCAACAGCATGGTCACATCAGCATCACCTCCCAGACCCCAGGACTACAACTCTGCTGGCAAATTTAAAGGCCTGGAAAGATTCCCAGATACCACGAGAACTATCCCAGCTGTACCACTAAGCTCTTATAAATAAGGGCGGTTTTAGAGAGGAAGAAAAAGAGTTAAATAGCACAATGTTGGCTGTCCCAAGCCGTTTGGGCCTAGAGCCAGCAACCAATCCTCAGCTCTTTTATTTGAATAACAGACACAGCCTACATGACTCTCATTTCTCTCCTTTCAACTTTTCAATATCTTTCCCTAGGGTACAGCAACGACAGCCCCCGGTTAGGGATTATTCAATATAGTAGATATCAGGAGCCCTAGCCCTTCCCCTAGGGCAATTTTATATTTAACACTCAAATGGTATTCCCAGAGCCAGTCAAATTCATGACACGGTACTGACTACCCATCACCAACCAGTGAGATAGTGTTGTATTTACTTTAATCCCTTTCAACTATCAGTTAAATGCAGCCATTCAGGGGCTGGAGAAAACAGCTGCTTAACAAAGAACAATCCCACGCTGACCCAGACAAGATCCCCTTCTCACCCAAAGCACCCTCTGTCTGCAGCTGGGAGCAGATCCTGGGGCAAAGAATAAAAAAAAAAAAAATAGAGCAAGCATCAAGCAAGCCTTTCTCTTAACACACACGTTTAGTGAAGAACTGCTCAGGGACTTCCCAAGCTGGATCTCGCATCCGGACTCCTGTGTTTAATAAGTGCTAATGGATGTATGAGCCATTTATTCCTCTTTGAACTTGCTTATGGCTTTTGGCCTTCGCAGTACCCTGGGGCAATGACTTGCATAATGTGTATTAAAAATAAATTGCTTCCCATTTGTTTGGTTTAAAACTGCTGCCTGATCAGTTCTACGGGTGCATCATTGTCCCCATGTGGCCACAAACACTGAAAAATTATTCTACAGTTACTGTTCAAGACTCAGGCCTGCACAGTCACCTCCTCTCCACCTGACTACTTTTCAGCTACTGTTTTCTAAAACCTGGATGGGAGAGAACCATAGAATGGTTTGGGTTGGAAGGGACCTCTAAAGCTCATCTAGTCCAACCCCCCTGCCGTGGGCAGGGACATCTTCAACTAGAGCAGGTTGCTCAGAGCCCCGTCCAGCCTGACCTGGAATGTTTCCAGGGATGGGGCATCCACCACCTCTCTGGGCAACCTGGGCCAGTGCTTCACCACCCTCAGCGTAAAACATTTCTTCCTTAGATCTAGTCTAAATCTACCCCCTTTTAGTTTAAAGCCATTCCCCCTTGTCCTGTCGCAACAGGCCCTGCTAAAAAGTCTGTCCCCATCTTTTTTATCAGCCCCCTTTAAGTACTGACAGGCTGCAATAAGGTCTCCCCGGAGCCTTCTCTTC